TGGGTAATAACCTGCAATAATGAGTGGCCGAATGGACTTTGTGCAGGGGTACTGGTGCTGCTGATGACTTTTATGATGGATCAGATGAGGAACTTTCAAAGAGTGCCAAACTGGGAATTGGTCTTGGGGTTGGCATGTTACTGTTGATGCTAGTCATAGTTTTGGCAATCCTGCTCAAACTAATGCATGATCGGAAAAAGGCCAAGGCGAATCTTGATGAGAAAAGGTAAGTTTTCAAATCGCTCATTCTGCAGACCAGAAACCTGCCTGAGCTCAAAGTCATCACTCTATGATCATTGCAGGCTCTTCTCCTTGTTTATCATAGACCAACATAGATTATCATTAAAAAAACTCTGGATTACTGGGGCATGATTTTGAGAAACCCCCCCAGTCTTCATTTCCAATCTAGATTATCAGAGAGGCGGTTAACGGAGACCCAAAATTTCAGCGTTTTTTTAATGCTATTTATAAGAAAACCAGAAGTCATTTTTAACCAAAAATTGCATCATTCCATAGAGTGCACACCATATTAACAAACCATTAGAAAAAAAACGAAAAGATAAATAAAAAACAGGGTAAAACAGTAAGGCAAAAGAGCACTTGAATGACATTTTGGATTCAGCAAATTTTCAGAATTTTCAGCGTTTTTGGAAATGGTCTTATCAGAGGAAATTCCAATGCTCCAGAGACCAAATTTGATACACAACAACCTTGAAGTAAGACAAAAACAGGTAAACAAAAAAAAAAAAAAAAAAACATAAAATTTCACCCCCAAAGGCTAATTTCAGTTTTGGACCTGTTACCCAGGAGCTGAAACTGGGGGGTCCCCGTTAACCACGTGTGTTTTTCCCATATGGATTACTGTAGCATCATTATGAGAATTCCCCTGGGTCTTCATTCTTCATTTCCAATCTACAGCTTTAACAATTGTCCCAACCTTATGGAGCAAGTTGAGATAACGGATACACTTGGCTCTAGCGTTGTAACTTGTAATCATGGTACTATAATTACTCCATCAAGAAGAAGAATGCCGAAGCTCATATTAGAATTTCCAGCAGGGTCCTTCGGGACATCCGTTAAGATTGGAACGATACAGAGAAGAGTAGCATGGCCCCTGCACAAGGATGACACGCATAAATCGAGAAATGGT